TTTTTTTTGTTCTTAGTTAAAGGTTATACAGCAGAGGGCTGAGCCTGCAGGGCCTGACAAGACACGAATTATTCATAAACACCAACATGATATGAAACAAGCAACAAGAGGCAGAAGTGCATGTTTAGAGCAGACTCATTTAGAATTCAGGGCACTTTGCCTCCGTCTCGTGGATGATATTACAGCGAGGCAGAGCAGCAAATACATTCAATTGTCTATTGGTGTTGTTTCTGTTTACTCACACCACACTGAAATCTGTGTTTTTATATTTTTATTTGAGATGTGTTATTTCTCTCAAATCTACGAAAGTACTTCTATGAATTATAGGACGTTTAATCAACATCTGAGCAGTGAAGTCCAGACAAACTGCTTGACTGATCTGGACATAGTATAAATATAGAATCAAGTTTTTCATGAATGTGTGGATGCCTGCAGAAACTAATCTTCCACATTCTGTTTGGTCATGTGGGCGGACATCCATAAAAAAAAAAAAAGCTCATAGCACAGGCTGTGGTTACTGTGCGTCCGTCTTGTTACTTGGACAGCACATCACATTATCCGTGCAAATACAAACACCAAGGCATCCAAAGATGCTATAGAGCAGTTAAAGCCGGCCGACAGGTGCTCCAGCTGTGCTCCATCTGTGCTGCCGTCATTATAAATGGACCGCACTTGAGACACCTCATGTCAGCACACAAACATATTTCCTTGATTCCCTTTCCCTCGCATCTTTTCTTTCCATCTCTCAGGAAGAGACACGTGAAGGAAACATGGATGCATTATTTGAGATGCTCTCCATTTCTGATCAAAAACAATCTGCTGCTCTCTTCCTCCCCCTGCAGGCGATCTACAAGATGGTGGGCACAGTGATCATGATGAAAATGAACGAGGACGGCCTGACGCCCGAGCAGAGGGTGGACAAGATCTTCTCCAAGATGGATAAGAACAACGACGACCAGATCACACTGGAGGAGTTCAAAGAAGCGGCCAAGAGCGACCCGTCCATCGTACTACTGCTGCAGTGTGACCTCCAGAAATAAACCAGAGGGCGAGCGGAGCGCTCCACCAGCCGCCACGGACTGCACAGAAAGAATTTCATGTTCCATTCAGTTTGCAGCTATTTCCACTGAAAAAAATTATATATATATTAATGCTTGGACTACCTTTCAATGGATCTGCTTCTTGTGTTTGAAACACTCGTGTGCATGAGAATGTTATTTGCTATAAAAAGATCTACACTCAACATACAACAGTGTGCAGGTGCACACACGCAGTACATACACACACACACATACACACACAAACACCACACACCTCGCACAAATAATATATATATAGATATATAAATATGAATATATATTTAAATTATTTAAAGATCAACTGCCAAAATGTGAAGTGTGCAAAGTATTTTCCATACACTTTCATTCTACTGGAGCTTGCGCATCAGTGATGTGCTACGTTGAATTTGCCGCTACTCTATTTATTGTTAAGAGTTTACCGATGCTAGCTGTCCGTGTTTCATAATACTGAGTAACGTCGACTGAACCAAATTCCTGATAATGTATCTGCCTCCAATAAGACACTCCGTCCATCATCTCAACTATTAGCTCTAGAAGAGATGGATTAGCGTTTGTCCAACTTCTCCTTCCGAAACATGCTTGTACTGTAAAAAAAAAAAAAAATAGGAAAATGTAAATGTAGTTAATTTGCATGCCTTTAGGTTCTGCCTTAAAAATCTCCTCATTTTGCATCCTGTAATCGAAGACAGAAAGCCTTATCAAAGCAGCGTAGACACTTGGGAGAAACCGTGAGACAAGATTTTTACTGAATAGGGAGCAAAAAAAAAAAAATCACATCGCAGTGGGTCCTTCTACAAGTTTTGTCGTATGGGATGTAATTTTTGTGATCTGTCGAGGCGTTTTATTTTGACTGCTTTAACTGTGGGAGCATGTTTCCTCGTAGATTAGCTGTAGTATATGTTGCTAAGAATTAAATCCCTGCCCCTGTGCATTTAAACACACTATCTCATGACAAATATGATGTTGAATGTGGAGGAATCCATCATTTTGAATCAGTATCTGAGATTTGAAAAGAGAAAAATGAGCTAAATTGCAAGATTTGTAAAGCAAATGGAGCAGAGGCAAGTGAAATCAAACGTATACATCAGGATTCCCCAGCGAATGAGTGAAACTTCCCTCAGCTGCAGTTCAATTAGGTGGGGAAAAAAAGAAATATTCATCTATAGTTGGAGAGCATTGTTATCAAACTGAGTTATAACCGAAGTGTCACCATCACATCCACTCTTTTCCAACTAGCCTGCAGGTTGCATATCAATACGATCAATTCAGAGGAGCTTTTATAGAGCGGTGAGGAAGAGGTAAAATTAGGCCCGTGCAGTATTTTAACTTGTTTGTCTTTTTCAGTGGAAGTAAATGAGTGCTAATGTAGTGAGAGGAGCAGTGAATGGTTTTTCATTTCACACTGTAACTAGTAGAGGACAGCTGATCCTGTAAAGCCATGCGTTTAGTAGGTTGGACAATTCGCCCTCCCTAACCCTTTGAAGTATTTCTCTCTTACCAGTCAGTCAATCTTTTTGTACTTTTTTACTCCCTTCTCTCACACATTGTACACGTGCTGATGCTTTCTAAATGTGGAGAAGTTCAGCCGAGTGTGGTGCCTCCCAAACGATTTGGAAATAGCCTGTAAGCCCGCTTCAACAAGTGTATCTGGCCCTGTCTGAAAGCACCGCAGACACTTTCCAACCTGCATTTATACCCCCGGTGTTTGAAGAGCTAGAGGAGGCTAAAGGAGATGCCATATTGCAATAAAGATCTTAGTATACCAGTCCATCGTCATCTCTCAGCAGCGTGGCGTGTCCCCCGGTCACTTTGTAATCTGAACTTCTTTACATGAACATCTTTGGCCAGATAATGTTTCTAATTCCAACTCTGTTGTTACTATTATTGCTATCAAGATACCAAATGTAAGCAAAGGCAAAAGTGTACAAGGATTCTTTTGTAGCATGTATTGTGTCCCTGACGACATGGCTGCACTACTCCCTGTGTTGTGATTTAATCTAATAAAAGGAACTCTATGGGCTCTCGTCTGGTCTGTTAACTCTACAAACCATCTTCTCAAGCAGCGTCACATATAAATGTGCACCCTGACCAGTGGTTCCCAGCTTTTTTGGTCTGATGTACCCCCATACCTTTACCAGATAAGCCCAAATACACCACCTGTTAAAACCAAAACAGAGTCAAACAAAAAGTTAAAAACAAAAATAAAACCCTAACCCCCAGACAGTAAGATAAATTAGCATGTAACAATGCAAAGAAAAACATGTAGAGACTCATACAGAAGTAATCCCTCTGAGTCATCACTTAAGGGAGACAGTGAATTTATATGCAGACTCGCATGCCGAAAAAATTCTCAATGACCTAATGTCATTGGGGTACCATATTTAACAACAGCAAAATAATATCAAAACATCAGTTTACTCTCGCGCATGCAGTCTCATATCCAGTCAGTACTTCTCAAACTTGTCTTTTCACCAAAACATTATTAAAAACACTTCAGGATAAACAGCACAGGCGTGCTACTCCACCATGCCTGCAGCAGTTTATGTTAAAGCGTTTCCTCAGGTTATAGCAAAGAATTATGTTTGGGAAGTGCTGAGCATACAGCTGGATAAATGAGACTTGGATTATGCTGCATGAGTTGTGTGAGAGTTTGTGAACAGATGTTTAGATATGGTTTTACTGTTGTTAAATGTGGCACCCCACGACTTAAATTCATCAAGAAAATGTCTCAGTTTTTGGATTCTTCGTTCACTGTGGAGACATGCAAGAAAAACAAAGTTTTCCTCACAAATTCAACAGCGTGAGTAACTGATGTACAAATAGTCATTTTGGGGATGAGATATTAGTAGTCGGACTAAACCACCAACCTCAAACGCCAGTATTTGATGACCTGGGAACAAGACTCAACAATCAACTATCTTTCTCCAGAGTCACAGACAGCACCTTTATCTGTTTAGGTTGAGTTTGTCAAGTTTACTTTATGCATTACACTTTCCTATTTCAACATGTTATCCACCACCTTAAGCTAATTTATTCAGCTGTTATCTAACACTTTTAACTTTACTTTTCTGCTCACATCCTCTCACTTGCTAGCTACTTTATATATAACCTTCATGGCAACATACAGTGTAATGTTAATGTATTACAACTGACTCAGGTCAGTGGGAGGTGTTTCTTGAGCAGTCAGCCTACTGAAGCTGGCAGCCCACTGGTTACGTGACAAATAATTTACTAAAGATCTGCAACACGTTATGTATGTATTTGCAATACTTTGTAGATCTGTATTTTCCTCCTATACAAAATGATATGCTCTTTTTCTTTAATTATAGTCTCTCCTTTAGTGGAGCAACTCCATATTTCCCTGCTAGCTGTTTAAGTGCCCGCTGTGATGTACACCGCTGTGTGTACATTTATACCTCATCTGTAGTCTGAAAGTGTTGCCACATGTACACAACATATTGGCTAATACTAGACATATTTCTGAAATAATGTCCCCATACAACCACCAGATGTCACTGTTGAAAGGTAATGTTTAAATAATAGGACTGAAGACACAATGTTCTTACAGTTTTCACATTTTCTTTGGAAACATAATTTGATGTTAGTTTTTCAGGTGAATTTGCACTGGCAGTTACACTAACTAGCAGGAATACTGTAGGTGTTTAAAAGAAGAAAACTTTTTAGTGGAGATGACTGAGCGAAGCTGCAGTGTTTACCCGTGACTGTTTGGCACAATACCACTGATCACATCAGGTTCACTCGTGGGTTGGTGTCCTCAAACACAACCAGGCAAACCCCAGGGATTGCATCATCACAAGCTGTTTGGAGCTTCAGGCAAACTAAGAACGGGTGACTCCATAACCCCTGTGCAAATGTGGAAAATGTATACTGTCTATTGATCTGAATGGGTTCACACAGAGGACAGCACTTCCACTGCGTTCCATCTTCAGTATGTAAAAAGGGAGGAGACAGGAGGTTTTAGAAAAGGAACATTTATTTTACAGAAACCATATACTTTACATAGTCTGTACTGATCAACTGAATTTCATATCACGCATTGCATGACCATAGTTAGCTTTAAATTAAAAGATTGTAGCAGTATGAAAAGAAAAAAAAGACTGAAAAATAATCTGCTCTGGGAAATTTCCACAGCTGACAGAGGAATACAATGACCAGCCACTTTCTAAATCCTGGTAAAACTTGTTTTCAATGCTTAAGTGTTTGTCCCATTTGACAACTGGCATACATCAGCCCCCTGCCCTAATATTAACTGACATACTGCCAGTTTCACGTGTATTTGAAAATGAAAACAATATCATCATCATCATTAAAAAAACTTCCGCAACTGTATGTGTACATTACACCAACATAGACTAAGGAATATGTGAGATTCGTACAGAGAGAAAAGACAGATTTGAACGTGGAGGTAAAAGGCATGGAGATGGATGGGGTTTCCAAAACGCTACTTTGGAGGGTCTGTGTTGATGCCGTATTTCTCTTTTAGAAGCTTCAGCTGTTCTTCTTTTTTCTTTGTGTCCATCTTCTGGAAAGCCTGCAGAGAGAACGGATAAAACAGAATAATCAAATTAGGAATAATTGCATAAAGATATATGTTCATATTAAAAGATTCAAATCATTTTCTTCTAATTCCTATGATGCCTACAGACACTGTAACACTCATACATACTCTGTTTGCATTGTAGTAGAGGACCACCAGGTAACGGTTGCAGACGTTGAAGCCTGACAGATGGTCACAGGCATTCTTGGCATCAAAGATGTCTTCATAAACCACATAGGCTGTTCCTCTTGTTTCAGGTGTGTTCCCTCTGAGAAAGGACAAAGAAGGACGTGACTACAAGACCCCACGTGAGTCCAACAGGTGTTTAGGGCAAAGGTAGAAAGGTCCATTTTAATGAAACAGAAGCAGTTTGGAATTTATCTAATGAATGATATTATTGTAAAAGTATCAATGGGCAATATTGACATTTCAATCTTGCTGATCTACAAATTTGTGCTGCATCAACTGTTGCAGACACAGTCAAGAAATTCTGTCCACTGTATTCTAGCAGCCAAAGTGGACGATGCGAGGAAAAGCCATTACACTAAGCCAACAGGTAGACTCTCGCACATAGCAAGGAGGACTGTTCCCAAATTTTGGATCTCTAAGGATGTCCTGGCACCGGACGACTGGTTTAAGGAGGTATGGAGAACTATCCCTCTGGAAAAACTGACTTACAGCCTTCATGACAACATGGAGGGATTTACCAAACTATGGCAACCCGCCTTGGACACAGTGGACCCCTCTGAACTGGACTTGGTTACACTTGATTAATAACATGCAGCAGACTGTAGCATATCCAAGTAATACATCTGTGATTGTCTAGTTGGTGGTGATATATTCAGGGTTTTTTTTGGTTGTGAAAATAAGGTTGTTACTCCCACTGTTTTTCTGATTAGTTCAAGGTGGTTTAAATGATGGAAAAGTAGTTCTGTGAATATCCAGTAATGAAGATATATAAAACTGTGGCCGATTACCTAATAAAAACAATTATTAAAAAATAAATAAATTATGTCCATCTTCTTTCAGGCTATGTTCTCCTGCTGTCATAATAAAGATTGAATTCAACTCTGCCTGCCATTTTCAGTGCTGACACACCAGTCTGACTCGCTAATGTTAGTAAGGATCTGATAACATGCACCTTCACAAAATGTTGGTATAAGTAACATAATTGAGTACAAGCTGACCACACAAAAATGATTTGCTTGTCCTTGATCTTATACAGCATCTACAATAAAAATAATCAAATCCAGTTCTTGTCAAGTACATCATTTGACCTTTTTGATCTATGTAAACCCTGTAAAAAGCTACAGTGTACAAACACTTACGTTCTGATTTGACGTATTGGCCCATATTTCCCAAAAATATCGTACATTTCCTCCGCTGTGATCTTGTAGGGAAGGTTTCTGACGTACAGGATTCTGTTCACCTCAGGAGGTAATCGTATCTGCGAGAAAAAACACACAAGTTACACAACATATTATTGGATCTTATGTTAAGCCACAGAAAAGCAAATGGTGATGCAATATATACATAATAACAAAACAAAATGACAAAATGTCACAGCTACTGCTAAGGCAATTCCATGAGAAAACACAAGTCGTGTGCCACACATAGACAAACTTACAGTTTAATTTAATCTAATGGAAACAGTGACTGCAATAAAAGCAACTTTTCAATAACTAAAGTTTAGTTGACTGGTTTCTGTGTGAATGGACCAGTTATTAAAATCGTGTCCATATTAAAAAAAAGTTAATCGTGACTTTAATTTCCCACACTCAGCCCTAGATTAGCTAGAAGAGAATTAAATACTGTTGTGAAGTATCAATAACAAAACTCAGCTAACGTTAGCATTAGCACATCTCAACTTCGAGGCCCAGGTGTTAACATGTTCAGTGTACGTTACATGTCGTCACATTTTCAAAACAAAATTTCAGACCGCACACAGTCCAAATAAGTCACCTGACTAAGTAAAGTTGGATATGTTAAAAGCTAAATGGGTATTTGTTACACAGGTAGCGTGATTGTTTTCAACTCGTTAACATGCTAACCATATGCTAACGCTGGGTGACGCTAGCTCTTAGTGTAGCCAAGTTAATATTATCAGTTAACGTTATAATCCTCACAGAATATAACAGCCAACTCGCTTGAACTTACATTAGCGCGTTTCGCCGCTTGCATAGCCATGGTGAAATAATGTTATGTATAAACAAGGTCGAACAACTAAACAACGCAGTTTCCCAGCTCTCCACTCTTTCCGTCAAAATGGCAGCGGTCGCTAGTTGGCGACGTACTTCCGGTTTCCGACTCAGCGACTGGGTGCAAATGGTGCCAATATGGTGCACTGCTGCCCCCTGCAGGATACATGTTATTACAGCACTTCAGTTATCCACCAATGAGGCAAACACTGACGCTAACTCATTGTCATAACTGCCGTGTTTACAGACAACTTATTTTGACAC